AGCCAGGCCCAGACTGTAGTTTTGAACCAATGAGGGTTTCCTTGCCCTGGCTGCATGGCTGCAGCTCCCTGTGCTCGAGCACCTGGGGTACTGCCCAGCTCTGTATGACCACAGCCTTGGCAGAGGCTTGTGTGTGTGTCTTCTGACTGTAGGGTTCTGCTTTCCCTAGCTGTGAGACACCATCATGTTCTGTTCCATCAGCACCGGCTGTGCTCCCCACTGAGTTCTGTGTAACTGTGTGTATTCCCATAGCTCAGGGGCACAGCCTTCGGGCAGAGCTCTGTGTAGGAAAGGACTGTGCAGGCTGAAGACGGAAAAATGTCCCCAGAGGATTTGCAACCTAAATGTCAGACAGGAGGAAACAAACGGTTTCACGCGGATGGAAGTGAGGGAAGCAGTGTCAGGCCGTTATCCAGGCCGAGCAGCAGTGGTCTGTGTCACACAAACACTGTGAAGTCTTGTGGGCATTATGGAGAAGAGGGATCTGGAAGCGGACCAAGACGTACCCAGTGTAAATATGGACACATGGCGATGGGCAGCTCAGGAGGAGGCAGGAGGATGTTACAGTCCCAGGAGATGTTGTGGGCAGTGGAGTTGGGTGCTGTGGGAGCTGTGACTGTCCCCGTGCCCAGCCTGGGTGCAGAACATCAACTCATCTCTCCCACCCTCTGCTCCCTTCTCTTATCAAGGTTGATAATGTTTTCTTGTGTCAACTACAAGAAAGGTGTGTCTAATTTGACAGAGCTTTGCTTTCATAAGCATTGCTTCAGTGATGTTTGTGCAACCACACTGGAATATGATTTTATCTTGTCACTTGTAATTACTATTAATAATTTGCATAATAGCCATTAGGCATCACTTATTAAACACTGCTTTGATGTGATACTGAGCCAGCTCCAGACCTCATGCTCCCATCTTTCAAATGCAGACCATGACTTTTTTCTGGCCAGTGACTCATTGGTTTATACCACCATGTTTAGCAAAACTCCTGTAAGGCAAGAGAAATAATTATCACAATGGGTTTGGTAACAGCATGATCCCAGCTCTTAAATACACCTCAGAGACCAAGGTGATGACTGTTTCAGTTTCTTGCTGACTGTTCACATCTTCAGACTACCTCTGAGCATTTGCTAGTGGTGAAGTAGAAGTTCAGCAGAACATGGAGGTGAACAGAACCAGGTTTCTTCCTACTGAAGCTCACAATGTTCCCTGATTCATTTTGTGAAGGGTTTTCATTTCCTTCCAGCACCTACCAGATGATAACAGTGTAGCCAGGCTTCCCCACATTTGCATCCCTGGAAGCGCTGCTGATTATCATGGCGAAGAAGAGAACCAGGGAATTTGTACTGGGACAGTTTTGAATACTGATGGAAGAATGAAACTCCAGCAGTTCCCCTCCTGCATGGGCAGCTCAGCGCAGCGCAAGTCGGGAGGAGAAATGGCTTCAGCCCATGGTCCCTGCACCAGAGCCATGGGGGACAAACCAGGACCTGCCAAGAGAATGGGAGCATTCAGGTGCCTCCTGCACCCAGACACTGCACAGAGGGGCAGCAGAGACAGGCAGCCAGGACACCAGCCAGCCAGAGCCTCCCCCGAGTGTCTTCATCTTTATCTTGTACTAAAAAGTCTCTTAATTTCCATGTGCTTTCAATGTAAGGCTCGTAGTGGCAGTTTAAATTACATTATTCAGGGTACGGAGCTGAGAAATCTCCTGCATGGTTATAGCAGTAGTTCACTCCTCTATGTAGTTTTTTATGCATGTTACACAAGCCAGTAAAAAACATAAACCCCTCAGACAGTTACTGTGGGTGTGAGTGAGACTGTACCCGTCTGCAGACTTTATATAGCAGACTTTATAGAGAAATTATAGTTTATACACCACAGCAGAATACTGTCATCAGCCCTAACTGCTTGTGCAGCGCAGCCCTGACCTCACAGCTCACTTCCAGCACTGGCGTTTTGCAGAGCTGGTTGGTTTCTTTCTGTTTCTTCTCTATCTTCATCCTTTAAGGTATATTCAGTCCTAAGGGACCTTTTCTGATGGTGCTCTAGTTCCCATGTGTCTGCTCCGTACCACAGAGTCCGTATCTGCCTGAGCAATCACAGGCTGCCTTTCATCTGCAGCCCTGGCAGTGATGCTGAGAGCTTCTGCCACCAGCCCAAGTGCTGAAAGAACTCCCCTTTGAGATCTTCATTTGCTCTTGCTTTACAAGATTTGCACATTAAAAGACAAGAGAAGCTCTTACGGAGCTGTGCTCCCTGTGTGCTGGTGCCAGTGGCTGCATAAGGGGAGTGTGATCAAGGTTTGCCTCCGGTCAGTGTCCCAGGTGATTCTTGTCCTTCTAACCCACGCACTGCATCTTCTGCATTTCATTGATCTTCTCTTTCCTGTCTCTTTCTGTGCTGTTTCCACACTTTTCATTTCCCATCACTATAAACTCATTGGGGAGAGAAGGCATCTTTTTATTGCTGCACAGCATTAATGCAGTGGCCTTAGAGGTGCCACGTAAACAGTGGGGCAGGTTAAGTAACACTGAGATGCACAGTGTAATTAGTGTGGTGGGAATGGGAGATACAGGACTTAGTAAAAGTATTTAACAGCAGCTCATTAGAGCAATTAATTACCCCAAGGGCTAACAAGTGTCTGTGACCTGGACAGAGGTTGGGGAGAGTCCACCTCCGGAAGGGACACTTGGAGTGGGATCGTTCAGCCCCTGCCCTGTGGTGCTGGTGCGGTCAGCCATGTGTGGCTGGGTTAGAGCACCAGAGGTGACCCAGGAGCAGACCAGGCTTTTTGCAGAGCACAGACCAGAGCAAGAAGCAAAAGCCCCATCGCTGCTGTGATTTATGCTGAGAGAACAGCTCTGTGTGGCCAAGTTCGTACCGTGCTGTCATTCCAGAAGTGTTGGAGCTGTGCCTTTCTTTAGCAACGGACCCTAATTCAGACTCATTGTATCCCCTGATGTCTTCTTGTTAGGTTAGTCATCAAACCCCATCCAACACTTTATTACAGAGAAAACTAACAGAGCCACAGAACCATAAAATCAGGCTGGTTTTGGGGGGAAGGGACCTCAAAGCTCACCCAGCTCCAACCCCTGCCACGGGCAGGGACCCCTTCCACTGGAGCAGCTTGCTCCAAGCCCCTGTGTCCAACCTGGCCTTGAACACTGCCAGGGATGGGGCAGCCACAGCTTCTCTGGGCACCCTGTGCCAGCGCCTCAGCACCCTCACAGGGAAGAGCTTCTGCCTAAGAGCTCATCTCAGTCTCCCCTCGGGCAGGTTAAAGCCATTCCCCTTGGCCTGTCCCTACAGGTCCTTGTCCAAAGCCCCTCTCCAGATTCTGCTGTGGGTGAGAAGGGACAGGCTGGATCCCAGGTCTTTGCTTGTACAAGCAGTTGTGCTCCTGACTGGGTTTGTAATTCCTTTCTCTGTGGCAATAAACCAGCAGCGTATTTTTTCCCCTGTCTGTTTATTGTATCTTACTTAAAAAAAAGCCCTCTCCCATGTATTAATTTGTCTGCCCTTTTATCTTCCCACGTTGCCAGCTGGTTCTTCCTGTTTGCCTCTCTAAACCAACCCATTTTGATGTTCTTTATTCAGTATTTTCTCTGGGAATTGCTGCCCTCCACCAGAAGGGTGTGTCGAGCCCAGCAGAGCCCGGCTTTCCACATTACTGCTCCAAGGGCATCGGGGAAAACTTGTTGTTCTTGATTTAATCCTGTTAGTGCACATTCATAATAACTCAAAGGTGTTGTGTATTACATTACATTACATTATGTTATATTATGTTATATTAGCACACACCTACTTTAATGAAAACTCGATTTTTGCTCCGAAGTCTCTTTCAGTAGGAGATTGTGGGTCAGACTGCCTCCTTCCCTGCACCCTGCAACCCTCCCTGGGTGTTTCCTTCCTCATCACCTTCTACTTCATGTCTTAGCTTATGCTTCCTCCTCTGGTAGCAAATCATAGAATCCCAGACTGGTTTGGATTGGAAGGGACCTTAAAGTTTATCCAGTTCCAACCCCCTGCCATGGGCAGGGACAGCTTCCACTCGAGCAGCTTGCTCAAGGTCCCATCCAACAAATGTCCCTTTGCACAGCATCAGCTGGGCCCTTTCCCCCGTCACCACCCTGCATCCACCTGAATTCAGCAGGAGCAGCGTGGCAGAGGCTGTTTTGTCCCCTTACAGCGATTGCTTTGGGGATATAGATCAAAGGTGGGTTTCTAACCAAGGGTGTGTGATAAATATAACGACCTGTGTAACGATGTTTTCAATACTTGTATGGTAACTTACTTGTAGAAATCATTTGTCTCTCTGGAGGCTGTGTCAGTAGTAGCGAAGTTTATTAGAGACAAGCTGTGGTGGCTGTGTGACAGCTGAGTGCAAAGCAGGTTAGTGCCAGTGGACACCAGTGGCTGGTGGATGGGGCAGTGGGTGAGGACGGGGAGGGGACAGGGGCAGCCGGTCTGCAGGGACCCTTCCGACTGCGGCGCTGTCAGGTTCTTCGTGCCTTGTTCGGGTGCGATGGGGCTGGCAGGAGCTCTCCTGCCTGAGGTGACCTGCCGAGGGAGAGCAGGACGTGGGGCTTTGCAGGGTTCACCTCCACACCGGGCCTTGCTCTTGCATCCCTCTTGCTCTGGGACTGACCTTTCTTTTCCCTCTCCCCCCCCTTGCTTGCTTAATTGTACATTTGAAAGACTCGTGGCTGACTGATTCCCCCTGCCAGTTCCTCATGTTCATGTGGTGCTGAAAGTCTTATTTAAGCACACTTACCGCTAATAAACCCCCACTGTCAAACACATTTTCTATGCAGTTTATAAATGCCCCATAGCTGCACACTCTGCCGCTGCTTTCTGCCGCAGCCCAGTTCATCCCAGTGCTCCACCACCAACAGTCACAGCCGCGACCCTGCACACCCAGCTCCTTGCGCTGCCTCTTTCCAGGGAGAAGAAACCACCTCCGGCCCCTCTTCACCACCCAGGAAAGCCTGGAGACCCCTCGTCCTCCTCCTCCCCACGTATGTAGCAGGACTAAAGCAGTTCGTGGTCATGCTCACAGCCTCCCGGAGCACACCTCACCTCGCACATCCTTGCGCACGGGCTCAGGGCACGCAGGGCTGGCACATGCCGGCTTTCAGCCCACCGCTTCTTCCAGCTGCTGCTGCAGGGACTCCTCTTGCCCCCGGCCCTCTGTGGGAAGGAGACAGCTCCGGTGACCGAAGCCCCGGCATTCACACCCTGCAGACCTGAGCACTGCCCTTAGCTGGGTCTAGTCAGTCGCTGCGGGTCATTTCCCCCTCGAACCATTAAGGTCGTTAAGAGCAGCAATTAATTAGCGCATCCTCCACCCTGCCTGTCTGCTGCCAGCTCAGTGACACACTGAGCATTACCCGAGGCTCTGAGACAAGCTCTAACAGTGTCATTTCATCCTTTGCAACCGGCATTTTGGAACAAACCCTGATGTTTTATGTAAGTCAGCCACCTCAGGCCACCACCATTAAATCCCTCTTTTTCCAAGCTAGTGGAGCAGGGGGTGCTGGGGCTGGTTCTGTGTGCATGAGGCGTTTATGAGCTTACCAGTGTGCCTCACTGTTTCAAAATCTCGGTCAATGGGAGGCAGGGCAGAGCCAGTTGCTTTGCATACAAATTAAATCTCCCCAGACTTTAATTAACTTGTTGTGTGAAACTGAAAATGTGTAGTAGATAATTTATTGTTTCACTTCATTTCCCTGCCAGTCCCTGAGCCTGTCTCGCTGTGACAGAGCCAATAAAACTCAGTGGCAGTGCTCATAAAGGACCTTGCCCAGCTCAGAGGGGAACCCACCCTCGGAGGACCTGTGGTGCTGCACAGCTCTGGGGCCAATGCCACCACCTTCGTTGGCCCAAGATGGGGAATGGTCTCGGCTTGGACTGTGGGCATTGCTCCGAGCCAAATCCTCACATGCCTCATGGTTTGCTAATAGGCCCTGTCTGTAGCAGGTCAGTGCTGGTTCCTCACCACAACGTTGCTTTTACCACTGGCACCATGAATTGTCATATCCCTGTAAAAAGCATAGAGGTGTTACTGTGTGAGGGTCTGCAAGTGGTCTGCATACATGATGTCGTGCTGTCCCCCCTCCAGCAGGCAGTGGTAGGTCTGGATCTCCTGCTCCAAGCGGCATTTGACGTCCAGGAGGGTCTTGTATTCCTGGTTCTGGCACTCCATTTCTGCTCGTATTTCAGCCAGCCGCTGCTCCACGCAGGAGATCTGGTTCTGGAGCTCAGCCAGGTATTTGTTGTAGCGACATTCGGTTTCCGCCAAGGATGATTCCAGGTTTTCTTTCTGACAATGGGAACATCACAGAGGTACTTGGGATGCTGCAAGCTTCACCTGTCTGGTTACAGGTACAGCTCCAAAGCGAGCCGGGGGGCCAAGATGTGAATTGAAGTGGCATCACCTACCATAGTGAGCTGGGCTTGTACGTTGATTTCCAAGGCCTGCAGCTGACGTCTCAGCTCTGTAACCTGTTTGTTGCTTGACTCGATCTCCTGGCTGCTCGTGACGACCTCCAGGTTCACCTCCTCCACCTGCAAGGTTAGACCCCTCGCTGCGGCAGGGGCTTCACCACCCTGCTTGTGCACAACTTGCTTGTGCTCCCCCTGCTTGTGCACACCCTGCACTGCACACCCTGCACTGCACCTGGGCATTTCCAAATCTGAAGCCCCCCATTTATTCCGTTGTGACCCTGCAGTGCCATGCGGTGGCCCCTCTGCCACAAACAGAACTGAGTACAGGGACTGGGCAGTGCAGTCAGAAGCTGAGCACATCTGTGACACAGATTAAGGCATCTCAGGAAGTGTTCTAAATCTTTTTTCCCTTCCTCCCAAGAGGCAGAGTAGGGGACGGCCCTAGATGTGTTTCGTACCTTGCAGGCGTACCACTGCTCAGTCTCTTTGCGGTTGCGCTCCATCAGCGTTTCATACTGGCACCTCAGATCCTCCAGGATCTTCCTCAGGTCGGGGCCAGGGCAGGCATTGACCTCCACACTCACATCTCCAGTGGCCTGTTTCCTCAGACAGCTCATTTCCTGCATGGAATAGGTGCACCATATCAGTCATACTGACACTTGGGGTTGGGGACACTTTCCTTCTTCCTGCTCCTTCATTCTCTATGGGGCAACCTGACCTCCTCGTGGTTCGTCTTGAGGCAGCACATCTCTTCAGTCAGGGCCTCACACTGCAGCTGCAGGTCGGTCTTGCAGCTCGCCAGCTGGTCCAGCACCGGGCGCAGGTTGCAGATGTCTGTGTCCACGTTCTGCCGGAGACCACACTCGGCCTCGTACCTTGAGCCACAGCCAACAAAGAGAGGTCAGTAACCCATGGCGAGCCCTGGAGTTGAGTTTGTGGGGGGAAACATTTAGGATCAAACTCTCCTTTCACTTCAGGCATGCCATGCTGCCAACACTGTCAGTGGCAGCCAGGCCTTTCACAGAGATGGGCCGTTTAGTAGGGCAGCATGACAAGCAGAGGGTTGGGATTTCCCCATCACCACTGCTCACCAACCCTTCCGCAGGCAGTGTGAACCCCCCAGCCCAGCACAGGGCCGTACTCACTTCACTCTGAAGTCATCAGCAGTCATCCTGTTGTTATCAATATTCAAGAGGATTTTGTTAGTCTCCATGGCTGCACACAGGATCTGGAAAGGAAAATGCAGGAGAGGGATTCTGGCTTGTGGCTTCCTCTGGCTCCCAAGGGCCCCCAGAGGAAACAGCTGCTTGAGGTAGTGCATCCCACTCTTTATAACAATTCCATATATTGGGATTATTAATCAATTAGATGGCATCACAGTGGGGAAACTCATGTGCCAGCTTGGCAGGGCAGGCTGGGCTGAAACTTCTTTGTAAACACAAGTGTCCCCCTCCCTCCAACCGTCCTTTCATATAAACTATGGCTTCAACTGCTCCTCCAGAGGCAGAGCTATTGCATGTAACATTGCTCTGTCCACACATAAAGGCAAAACCCATAGGAATATTAGGATTTTCTCAAAGAAGACAGGTTTACCTGGTTCTGAAGGTCTTCGATCTCCTTATGATAGCAGCTGTAGTCCCGTGGTTCGCAGCTGGGCCCTACCTTGGCGTACCACTCTCTGATCTTGCACTCGAGCTCGGCGTTGTCTCCCTCCAGCAGCCGCACCTTGTCCAGGTAGGAGGCCAGGCGGTCGTTGAGGTTCTGCATCGTTGCCTTCTCGTTGTTAGCAAATAAGATCCCATCACCGCAGCCAGCACTAGCCCTGGTGAAACCACCACCTCGCGTGCAGATGCCTCCACCGCCGAATCCAAGGGCAGAACAAGCCCTCTGGGTAGCTCCGAAGCTCCCACCAGCAGCGCTGCCGGCGCTCAGCTGCTTCCCAAGTAATCCCTCGCTTAAACTGTCACCAGAGAAGTTGCCCATCACAGCACCGAGGTCATAGGTAGCGTGTCTCCCCGGGGAGGCGGAGGAGACCTTCCTTCCGCTGCCAGCCGCGGAGCTGCCCGCGCTGCTCCTGCCTTGGGAACAGGCAGTAACAACCTGCCTGACGGCACAGCTCATCGTGCGAGCGTGGATCCGACCCGGCGCCCAGGACGAGCTGCACAGATCGCTGCAGGAGCCGATTGTGATCCCTCTGTCCCCATAGTCCTCTATTTATACCAGCCCTTGTGGATCCTGCTACCGGAGAAGGGCTGTTTATTCTTCCTCCTTGTGACCTGGCTAGTACTAATTTACTTTTTTTCAGCTGGAAATATTTCCCCAAAGGCGTTTGTCTCCAGAAATCCCACAACAGAAAGGTGCTTTGGTTAACAGAAGCGTGTTTCAAAACTACATCAAAAACGTTACTTCCTGAATCATCAGGTCTGACTTGTGATGACAACTAAACAAGAGTGACACAAAACCTGACGATACCCAAGAGTGCCCGGGGAGTGAAACACCACAGCAATTATCCATCCCCGGCGTGGGCGAGTCTACCCGGAAAGGGAAAGCTGTGGGAAAGCTGTCCTATCTGCCGGAGCCTGTTCGACCCCTTTGTGACCAGAAGCGAGGGTGCCCCCTCCATCAGCTGCCCTGCAGCCTTGGGACAGAGCCAGCAGAGCACCCTGGGGGTACTGCTTCCTGCACTGCTTCGCCGTGAGGGTCTGTCCCATCCTGCTGGAGCTGAGCGAGAACCTGCCGAGCTCCAGGTCATTTGACTGGGAAATGCGCTGCTCCGGGGGAGCACGGATGAATATTTGCACTGGAGTGAACCAGGGATGACTTTTTACTTGTCTTTCTCCAGCGTGCATCAGAACATCCCCTTGCAGAGGGGAGATCCCATGGGATTTGTTTTGTTGCTTTCCAGGGCAGACAAAGCATCCAAGTAGTTACCCAAACCAAAAGAGAAAGGACATTTCCTGAATACCAGATGCTGCAGTTCACTGCCAGTGCCCGCTGCCAAGCGAGGACGGCCGTGTGAGGGGGTTCACAAGATCCCTAAAGCAGTGACATGGAGAATCTCAGAAGCAGCCTGATCCTCATCAGTCTGACCCAGTTCCAACCAGCACCACAGGAATTCTCCAAATATAATCTAAGGAAAATGTGCTAGATTTAGAAAAAACGCTGGAAAAGCTCATTTAGAAAAATATATTAATTTTTTTTTTGACTCTTGGAATGCTGAATTGAGGAGGAAGGGAAATAATTAAAATGTTTTGTCATCTGAATCTTTCATTTGTTTAATAGTTTTCATACAGCCATGCTAATGCTGGCTGCCTTTCCCCGTGTGTGGCTCAGTGTTGGGTTTGGCACCCAGGTCACCTGCGTACATGGCATGAAGGATGCGTCAGGTCCAGCCTCTGTCAGAAATATTGCTTATGCCATTGCAGCAGGTTCATTAGTCTTGATTTTATCTTGGCACTGTAAATACAGAGCAGCTTCGATGTGGTGTGGATTCTGTGTGGGCCCATGCTTTGTTACAGCCGCAATTAGCAGGAGGAGCTGGTGCCGTGGTGCTGTGGCACGCCTTGGAGCCTCTGCTGCGGAGCAGGAGCAGAAGTGGCCAGAGTCTGTCCTTTTCCCACAGAATTGCTGAGAAATTGGTGCTGAGCTAACACCACATTTCATGTAACTGGGGAAGCACAGTCCTTTGGTTTCCAGTGAGAAAAGTGAAAACACGGATGGGTGCAGTTTATTCAGCTATTGATGAAAACGAAGCAGAAATGTCCACGTTTCTTCCATACAGTTTGAACTTCAGACGTTACCATAGGTCTCTGCAGCCAAAGGTGATGAGAATTTTGCAGCTTTTGTAAAGGAGAAGAATAATTCCACTCTTGGTTCTGTTGGTTTTGCGTCGACTTTGTGGTAGTTTTTTTTTGTACCCAAAAGTTGACATTTTTATTAAACCAGCTTTTGCACCCATTCACACCTCAAGACCTGACTGCAGTTACAGCCCTCACTTTATTAAAAGAGATTTTCCTTTCCTGATGAGGAGGTCTGGTAATGATGGGTTCTACATGTGTCATGGAGGCTTTTCCATTATTAACTTTTACTGGCTTCCAGACTGGAGTCCACAGACAGCACTTTGCTCACCGCAGCCCTGCAGCCAGCCACAGGCGATGCCTCAGATGAGCGTCCTCAGCTGACCTGGAGCCCCTCGCAGGCAGCGTGCACCCGAGGGAGGAAGAGGAGGGGAGGAATGATGACTTACGAGGGTTCCCACAGGCATTCCAGGAACAGCAGTGCAGGCCTGACAAGGGAAAATTGCTACTTCAAGTAACAAATGAGCAGAAAAGCATCCCCTAGGCAAAGGTGCTGTTCCCATTTAATGAACACTGTGAAAAATGACAAGAAATAAACTATTCTGCAGCTTTGCATCTGCGTCTTGTCCTGGGCTCTGTAAAGGAGAGCAGGATGGTGGTAAATGGGTGCTGTGGCCTTTATTCCCGAGGCTTGTTCTACTGCACCAAATTGTCAGATTAAAAAGGGCAATGAAAATGAGAAGGAAAGATGAGATTTCCCCTGAGGAAGTCCTTTGGTAATCTCAGGATATTTTCATAGAATCCCAGACTTGTTTGGGTTGGAAGGGACCTCAAAGCTCCTCCAGCTCCAACCCCTGCTGCAGGCAGGGACACCTTCCACTGGAGCAGCTTGCTCCGACCTGGCCTTGAACACTGCCAGGGATGGGGCAGCCACAGCTTCTCTGGGCACCCTGTGCCAGCGCCTCAGCACCCTCCCAGGGAAGAGCTTCTGCCTAAGAGCTCAGCTCAGTCTCCCCTCGGGCAGGTTAAAGCCATTCCCCTTGGCCTGTCCCTACAGGCCCTTGTCCAAAGCCCTCTCCAGTTTCTTGTAGACCTCTTTCAGTGCACCCTTTAGTGCACTGAAGTGAGTGCAGCTACTTTTAGGTACTGGGAGCTGCTCTAAGGTCTTCCCTTACGGAGCCTTCTTTTCTCCAAGCTGAACCAGCCCAGCTCTCTCAGCCTGGCTCCAAAGCAGAAATACTTTAAGACTTAAGACTGTTTCTTGAGCTAATGCATGTGGACTATGGAAAGTAGAACGTGCCCCCAAGAAGTCGAGCCAGCATTTCACGTTATTACAAACACTCCCTGAATCACCGCCTGTCTTCATGTCCAAGAGAACTTCCCTGGGGACCCAGACATGACACAGAACCCGAGTCCCTGCCGGTGCCAAGCTGCTGCTGTCCCCTTGTGGGACTGCCAGCCCAAGTTAGGTTTAGGTCAGTTTAGTCATTTATTTGGGTTCATTCTGCTTTTTATCCTGTGGCCACCAGGGAGTGCCAGGGGAGGGAAGCTGGAGCCGGGCACTGCCGACACCGGGCACCGGCTCGGCCTCCTGCATGTCCCTGCAGCCTGAGCAGGGCTAGGTACAGCGACAGAGTGAGAACTGCAGCAGCCCTGGCTCCTGTTTGCTCATTGTCACTGAATTCCTATGGAAAATCCTTGTGTTTGCTGTTTACAAAGTGATACTTATTGAGCTCTTGATGTCATTGTCACTCCACTCCTTTTCTGCTCCTTATTGGCTGTTGTGAAGCTGATCTCCATCTCGCTAATGACACCAGATGCTCCAGGGTTCTGATCCCACCTTTGCAAATCACTCCAGGCGAATAGTTCAGCTTCTCCAAATCTCAATTTCATTCTTTGTAGGCTGGAAATAATAATCACAGTAATCCACCTTCTCAAGGGCATTGTCAAAACAAGTATCTGCTACAAACATGGGCTTTAAAGATCAGAAACACGATACACATTTTAAGTATTAGTTGTTGTACGTGTTTTTGCTGTTACATATTAAGTTTGACACTGGCATATCCTACATGTTTCTCTGTGTCTCAGCTGATGAAATACCTTTCAAAGACATTCTTGGGCTTCCTTTTCTCTTTTGTTGTCCATAAAAGTTCCACCATTATTCACTGAGGACTTGGTTCTCTAACTCCTTGCTGAACCCTACCAGGGACTTGTGTTTGCACCTTACAGAGCATTTGAAAAATGCTCTCCAAAACCAGTGCTACCCATCTCTTGGACGTGATAGTTTGTCAGTGTTTCACAGACACAAACTGGGGGTACCAAAAAGGTGGTCTTTTCCTTCTTCACAGTACTGTAATGTACCACAGTGGTTACTTGTGCACTGCCTGAGCTTGTCTCCTGTTTGTGATATCAGGGTTCTGTGGCGCTGTCAGTGACCTCTGTACTCTGGTCTGTGTTTCATTTCCTACCCTTTTCTGTAATTGCTCAGCAGTGATGCAGAATGATAGCATCTCTTCACACTCCCTTTTCTGGAAAGACCTGGCAGGTTCCCCACTTCTTCGATCACCTTCCCTCTCTTCTGCTTGTCTTGGCATGCCCAGCGTGACACCATCAGCACTTTCTAAGAGCCTTTGCAGGGTGCCTCTGTAATTGTTCCCTGAGGACTGTGATGTCTTTGAGGAGGCTGGCAGTGAATCATCAATAATGGTCCCAAAGGTGTGCTCCATATCAGCCCCAGGAGCTCTTTGTGCTGCATTATAAGCGAAAGGAAGCCAATTTACTGTAAATTATCACCTTTTCCCTTAGTCTAAGGCCAAACATGAGGCCATGGCCTGAGACTGGACCTAGTACCACTGGCTGGAAAGCATGAAGTTGGATCTAAGTGATTCCATCAGGCTTTTGGGTCTGAAATGATTTCCTCTCCTATCTAGCCCTCAGGTGATGTGAGACCAGGGCAGCATCCTTTTGTTCCTCTGCTGCTCTCCAGGAAGTGAGTGGGCAAAGGTGAACCTGGTGCCTGGCTGCCAGCACCCAAACTATGTCATCTCCTCCTGATGGCAGCTTGCCTGCAGACATTGTGGGCAGACGAGAACTAGCTTGCGTGTTTTAAGAAGGATTTGAGCAGTGATCTACTAGATGCTATGGTGATAACAATTACTGCTACTCATCCCTCTGTGGATTAAGCAATTCCTACTGTGCAACCTGTTAATGCAGCCTCAGGCAGCATGAAAAGGCCTGTATAAAGTTTCATCATGCACAATAATGTGATTTAAAGACAGACAAGTAAGACAGAAGGATGTATGTATGAGATCTGCCAACCAGCCTGACATTGAGTGCATGTCTTGGGATGGTACGTAGTAGTCCTGCTGAAGATATTTAAGTTCAGTTTACAGGAGAAAGTGATTCTTTGTGGTACCAAGAGTTAGAGAACCGAGCTTTATTTTGTTGGCTTTATTTATCAGTCATGTGGCACGTTGGTATCAGACATCATCCTTCCATCATTGCCTTCATTTTTTATCAAACCTACCCGGTTTGTGTCTCGGTCCTGTGTATTTACAAGCAGTGAGTTCAGTATTGAAAGCTGTATCACCTTACTTTTGCTCCAGGTGAAACCCATAGCCCTCTGTTCCCCTCCTCTTGCTCCTTCTTGTGGTTTCTTGGGACTTTCCCTGACATGAGCACACAAGCCGGAGGCTTGGAGGGATCACATACCAGGGACAGACAAGTTTGCAGTTGCTAGAACAAGGGGAAAAAGCTTTATTAAATGTGTACAGAGTGCGCGGGGGCACCCACGGGTAATTGGGGTAATAGGGGAAGGAGGAGCAGGAGACTGAAGCAGACACTTTCTGTGACCCAGCCCCATCACACGTGGCCCAGATGGTGCTTGGTGCAGCTCCAAGTTCCCTTGAGCCCAGGGCTGAGGGTCCGTGGAAGCTGCTCGCCCTCCTAGCGAGTGGTGAGTGCAACCTGCTCCCGGGAGGAGACCACCTTCCCGTCCTGCACCTCCTCCACGATCGTGCGGACCTGGCGGGACGATGACATGACTGCGAAAGGAAGGCAGAGAATCATTGTTCTTGGGGCAGGAAAGATGGGAATTACTTAACACGTTATCAGATATCACGTGTGCTTCAGGAGATGTCAGAAATTCCACAAGGTACTGGAAAACCTTGTTTTATGCAACCCTATGCCGGCTGGGAAGGGGGAAGAGCCAGGCTGATGGGAAAGCTCAAGAAGGCCACAGGCACACTCCTTAAATATGTGGTGTCACTTGGTTTTTCAGGTCTCCATAAACTCAGACCACTGGCTGTAACATCACAAGGCCCGTTGAGGACAAATCCTTGTGGTCAAGGAGTGCCAGGAATTGCCCTTCCTGACAGCTCTGTCCCGTGCTGAGCAGTT